GCTGGCTGCGGGCTGCTGGCCGGCCTGGGAGTAATAGACTGCGGAGTGAAATAGTGCGGAATTCAATTACAAGTAATTTATTTTTATCGAAACACTACATCAAGGCCTGAGAGATATTACGGACGAGGCCGGGGCTCGGAGAGACAACAGCCTCGCCACCACACGGGGGGAAAGAAATGACGGGCGGGCTGGATGTCCCCTCCGGCCAAAGTTTAATCTTTTCATTAATTTATAGGGCGCAGCCCGATTCATCTTCCCGGAGAAAGGGTGGCCGGCAAAAAAAATAAAATAAAATAAAATAAAATAAAAAATAAATGCCTTCTCCCCTTGGCTGCGGCCACGGAGACACCCCCAAAGGAAAAGGAGGTCCCCAGACCTCCTCCTCTACCCATGAGGGGGAGGAGGGGTGGCACCGATGTCCAGAAGGTTCTGGAAACCAGTAGAAGAAGATCTATTGGTCGCGTTTCATCGGAAGTCGCCCTCGCTTTCTGAAGTCCAAAAACAAACAAAAATATGAGACACGCTTGGGAGCAAAAGAAACAAAATATATATACTCCAGCCGGCGTGGCTCAGTGGTTGAGCATCGAACCTAGGAACCGGGAGGGTCCCGGGTTCGATTCCAGGTCAGGGCACAGGCCCGGGTTTTGGGGGCTCCATCCCCAGTGCGGGGCGCGCAGGAGGCGGCCGATCCAAGATTCTCTCTCCTCATGGATGTTTCTCTCTCTCTCTCTCCCTTCTCCCTGAAATCAAATAAAAACGTATTTTTAAAAAAGAAAAAAATGGATATATACACACTTTTTTTCGATGGGCAGGTTTTCGGGCAACACCCTCTATTTTTTTAAAAAAAAACGCATTTGATCTTTTCGTTCCGGACACAAACATTCGGGACACGAAGTTGGGTTCCCAGGAGTGGGGAGGCCGCCGCCGCGCCAATAAGATAGCGGCTCCTTTAAAGCCCGTGGCTTCCCGGGTCGGCAAAATTAATTCCGTGTATGTAAAACCGGTCCCTGGAGGCCCCCCCAGATCCTGCTTTCCACTCCCGGGGCCCTCCTGTCCTTCTCCGAACGGACGGACCCAGGGACAGACGGATGGCCGACCTCCCCAGGGGGTGTCAGCGCTGCTTGCGCGAAGGGACCGGACCTCTGCTAATCTCCCCTCATCCATAAATTATTACTTATTAATTTCGCGTTCGCAGAGCCCCAGAAAGGCTCGCTCGCTCGCTGGGGCGCCCTCCTCCTCCTCCTCCTCCTCCTCCTCCTTCTCGCACGTGCAGCGCGCACACCCAGGGCGCCTCCGACAGCGGCTCGCCAGATGGAGCCCCGCGAGCGAGCGCGCTGAGGCTAATCCGGCCCCGCGTGGGCAGCAGCCCAGCTCATCAACATGCCGCCTGTGCAAAACCCTCGCTCCCCAATCCCCCCATCTCTCCCTCTCTCTCTCTGTTCCCCCGAATAGAGGGAGGAGGCTGCCCAGGAGGTGGAAGAAGAGGAGGAGGAAGAGGTGGAAATGAGAAGGAAAAATGACCCAAATTCCTGACAATCTGGGCATATTAAGACAGCTTAGACACAGTAAGATAGTCTCTCTCTCTCTCTCTCTCTCTCTCTCTCTCTCTCTCTCGGCCAGCAGGTCAGGCAGGGCACGTGCCCTTCGTGCGCGCGAACCGTGCGCCCCCCGATGCGCGCGAGGACCTGGGGCATCCCCAAAAGGGCCTGGTTCCAGGCCGGTCACAGATGAAAATGGCCTCTCTCTCTCTCTCTCTCTCTCTCTCTCTCTCTCCTCTCGTCTCGTCTCCTCAAGCGCCAGCCGAGCCCTAGGAGCCAGCCGGAGACTCCCTCCGCGCGCGCCCGGAACCAGGGCGCACGACCCCCCACCCTGGTCTCCGTGCGCATCAGGGGGTGCGCCTGTGAGCACAGCCCCTCGGCTTCCTGCTGTTGTCACCCCCTCTCTCTCTCTCTCTTTCACACATATTCGCACCCACGCGCAGCAGGGCGCCAAGCGTGGTCCTTTCTTATTTCCAAAAATCATGGCAGCGTCTGTAGTTGCTGGGAGGAGTGAGTTGGGGGGGGAGAGGGGAGAGGGAGGTGTGTGTCCCAAGCAAGACGGTCAGCTTCTAGGAGCGTCTCGCCCCGACACTTCTCCTCGTTTTTTTGGAAATGGAGTCCTTTCTTGCCAAGCTCAGGGATTTGAAATCCACTCGAGGCTGCCGTGAGCGGCGTCCCCAAAATTTCCCTTCCCCTCTCCTCCCCTCCATCCTGGGATGGTTGAGCGCGTCGGTGCCCTAATTAGATGTCCCCTGAGGGCCAAGGACAAGATGCTGACCGTCGGGCCCGGCCTGCGTGGCTCAGAGGCTGAGCATCGACCTATGAACCAGGAGGTCGCGGTTGGGTTCCCCCATCAGGGCACCGGCCAGGGGTGCGGGCTCCATCCCCGGTGAGGGGCGTGCAGGAGGCAGCCGGTCCACGATTCTCTCTCATCATTAGTGTTTCTATCTCTCTCTCTCCCTTCCTCTCTGAAATGAGTCGTTTTGTGTGTGTGTGTGTGTGTGTTTTTTAAAAGATACTGATCTTCCAGACACTCCCGGGTTCTACCAATTCCGAAACCATCTCGAATGAGCACCGTCAACCCATCAAGGCGGAAACTTTCAAAGGGGGGCAGAGGTGGGGGGAGAGGGGGTTCGGGACTTGTGTGGGGAGAGGAGAGAAGTTGGGGGCCCCTGGCCCTCCACCCCCCCCCAGGCCCTGAGCTGGACAGCGGACCCCCATTCTGCACCCTGCCTGAGCGCCTGCCTCCCCATGTAGGGGGGTTCTGGCTGCTGGACGCCAACCCCCTACTTGCATTTTATTTTCTTTAAAGATATTTTTATTAGTGATTTCGGAGAGGAAGGGAGAGAGAGAGAGAGACAGAGACACCAACGACGAGAGAGAATCGTGGACCGGCTGCCCCCTGCTCGCCCCCCAACACCGAGTCCATGGGTCGACGCTCAACCCCAACTTGCATTTTTTTTAAAAACCCAGAAAACGGCACGTCTTTGAGAGAGAGAGAGAGAGAGAGAGAGCGCTCCCGGTCCCTTCCCCCGGCAGTAAAAATTCCTCCCGGAGGCGACCACATGCTCGCGCTTTATGCGTCTGAACTCTGAACCTCGGAGGATGGATCCCAGCTGAGACTCGGGGGCTTTCAAAGTCCTTTCAAAGCAGCCAGGGCGGCAGCCGGCTTTGCTAAATCCACAGCTCAGCTCGGTTGGGGCAGGCGGGCACGCGGACCGCCGGGTTTCTCGGGGAGGGTGCCCCAGGGTGCCCTGAGCGCCTCCGTGTTGCTCCCCGAATACCAGCCTGGGATGGGGGGCTCAGCCTGGTGCGAGGTCTGCATTCCTAGCTGAGGGGGGAAAGGTGCAAGTGGGAACGGGGGTTCCGTCCACTCTCCTCCCTTCTCTCTTTCTTATGAATGCTCATTCGTATTTCTCCTCTCGCTTTTCGAACGAACGGGCCTGGACAGTTGCACAGGCTCTTGCTGCACCGGCTCGGGGATTTGGAGTCTCGGAAGAAGTGGGGGGGCCGGTCAGGATGTCAGCCCCCCCCCACCCCGGAGTCCAGCTCAGCCTGCGGCCCCTCTCTCTCCATCAAAGCAAAGAGTCATTATTGTATGAATTACAGAGCCAGGTGTGGGAGACCAGCCCCGAGGCAAGGCAAGCCAGCAATTGGGGGGGGGAGGATTTGGGGGGCGCTTGTTTCTACGAGGTCGAGGCCTCCAAAACGCAGCTGGGTCATGCACATGGGGGGCCTAGGGCTTCAAAGCCACGGGGGGCACCATCCAACTCGGCCACCACAGTGTAATGGTCCCCAAGAGCCGGAGAGAGAAGTGGGTGCTGGAGGGGAAAAGAGAGAAGGGACCCCCTTCTAGGAAGCCCACCCCTGACCTCTCTCAACATTTAAATAACAGAAACTAGACCCCCAAATTATCCAAATGGCCAGCGTCCTATGCCTTTCCTCCTTCCTAAAAAAAATTAAACGTTGTAGCCCGTCGGTAATGAGACAATCCTGAGAAATGTAACCAATTTGTTGCCCGTGACGGATGGCTCGCTGTCAGTTGTCTTGTTTCAGCGGTTCCCCCTCTCCCGCCCCCCAACTCCCGGGGTGGGACCCCCCGCTGTCCAGCTGGGAAACCTCTCCTAATCCTGCCTTTGCGCCCACCCCCCACCCCCGCCAGGAATCAACAACAGGGCGAGCCCAGGGCGCAGA